GAACCCAATCCAGGTCTCCCATGTGAGTGCAGGGGCCAAAGTACTCGGGCCATCTCCCACTGCTTTCCCAGACACATTAGTGGGAAGCTGGATCAGAAGTGGAGCAGGGATACTGGCATTGCAGGTGGTGGCCTAACTAGCTACCCCACAACGCTGGTCCCAGGTTAGTTAATTTCAAATTAATATCTCAGGAGACTGCAGACCGCAATTAGGGGGGAGGGATCATGAATCAGACTTACTAAATGATGGAGCAGTAAACAGTCTTCATGTGACTTTTTGCCTTTTGCTGTAGACTACACAATTTCTGAGCTTAGAGACTCTCTCTTCTAAGTGTTACTTTGGGGATACCAGAGAGACATTTTCAAAGTAGTCGTCTTGCTCATTTATGTAGTCTCCTACTGCAATACTTCATACATGCACCCCCATCCCACACTTGGTGGCAGCCAAAGCCTACCTGCTAACCTGCCAGGCTGCACAAAGGGTTAAGGCTGCAGCCTCCCATGCCTGCAGGCTGTTGCAAACCTTCCCCTGTACTTTCTCCTCTGCAGTCAGTCCTGTAGCTGTAGCTGCTGCTCCTGCAAAGCCTTCAGCCCTTGCAGAAGCATTGTTTCCTCCCAGCTCTGTTTGGCTTAAACTTGCAGTTCACTGGGTTATACCTCAGGAGTCTAAACTTAGCCCTGCAGGGTCTCACCTAGAATCTGTCCCTCTTCCTCCAGTGAATTTGTTTGCCCTGCTCTGTTCTGGAAGTGCCTCAGGGCCTGCTGTAACCTTGCTGCTTCCTCCCTGCTGGAAGTTAGATGCATCCTCAGTGGCTGCATTACTGCACACTTCCCTAATAACCTTGTTTTTTCCTTCACCTCAAACTTCTCCAAACAACACCATCCCGGCTGACCCTGAAATTCTCTGACCCTTTCTTAGCAGTGTTTTCCAGCCCAGAGAGCAATGATAGAGGGCAAATTGGGGAGAGAAGGCTGGGGAACTCACCTGCACAGCAGCGTGGATCCGACACAGGATGGGGCTGCCTGCAAACTTCCCAGGGATTGTCTGCAGCTGAATCTCTTGGCCTTAAAGGGACAGGGGCGCTTTTCACCATATAAGGAAGACAGCTTCACTTGCTGCTTCTGAGCCTGTATGGGCAAAGCAACTCCCTCTTTTGAGGTTGTGGAGGCTTATGCCTTCTGGGGGATTCTGGAACCTGTCAGCTCCTGAGGATTTCTGTAGTAGGCAGCTTAATAATGGTTGGAGAAGGCACAAGAATGATGTTTGGCTGATGATTTTAAAGGCCAGAAATCCCTTTCTACTGGGCTTGTCTCCTTACAAAAACAGGGTTTCTGGTAACTAGGAGTCCTCCTCAATTCTGTGAAGGGGTTTCTGCTTCTGTCTCGGGCTTGGCTCCTAAAACCAGAGGTCTCGCATACCTTCCACGAGGCTGGTTGAACCCTTCCTCCTGACATAGAGGCGAAAGGGAGAAGACTGAGAAGTGGTGCAGCTTGTGACACGTGAGGCTTTGATGGTGACACACTGGCCGTGCACCTGAACCTGAGCGATGTCGCCCCCTCAGCTGGCAGGTGTGTTCCTTCCCCTAAATAGACAACATGTGGGCTCTTCCCGAGGCCACCCACAGGCCACTCCTGCCCCTGAGCACTCCTCGTGGGCTCCCTTGGCTAAAGGCCACAGCTGAAGTTTGCGTCTGCTTCCAAATGGCAGGGATGACCATGTGTTTGCTCTTTAGCAAGAGCAAACGTTTTCTGTTGATGATATTTAACTGCAAAGTTGTCCTGTTGGTGTGGGGTGGATTAAAAGCAGTTATGAAATGTTAGGTTTTAAGAAGAAAGTAGAGCTTAATTTAGTCATCTCTTGGATGGTTGCATGCTTCTTTCTTTGCTGCCAACTGGAGATAGTCTGTGAAAATGCTTTGAAATCTGCCAGGTTGCGCTGGCCAGCACCTACTCTTTATTGCTCAGCGAACGTTGCCTAATAGTGTCTGCATCATACATTTGGGATTCTTTAAAAATTTTATTTGGCACCTAATGGTGTGGGCTCAGAGTACCTTCACTTCTTCCTGTCTTCTATCAATTTGGACATTTTACTTCCTATTCCTTTCTACTGATAAATACCTAGTACAGAACAAGCATGTGACTGGGTAATAACTTATGGGATGAACTTAGTTGACTGGAGTCTAGGTATTTTGTATGAAATTTACATAGTTTTATGGGTGTTTTCTACATCATTATTTTTGTTCTCAAATAACTACATGACTTGCTTTACTATCTCTTATACCAACGAGTATTTATTTTCCATATCACCAGAGTTTCCTCAAGGGCAGAGGTGTGTGGGTAAGAGATTTCTTAAAATTATAACAATTTTTTATCTAGCAATCTGATTTCCAGGAGTTTAATCTAAGGACTTAAGGAATAAGCTAAGGAAATAATTAGAAGCAAAACACTATACAAGTAGAGATGCTCATTCTACTGCTCTCTGTAACAGCAAAAACAATAAACGACTTAAAGGCCCCAAGGTCGTGTTATGCATCAACACCAGTAGCTTGTATTAGTTAGATTTTTGATGCTACAATGAAATATCTGAGCCTAGCTTCTTACAAAGGAGAGATTAGTTTTGGAGGTTCATAATCCAAAATTGTCAGGGCCTGTTGCAGTGTCCCAGTACAGCAGCACAGAGCAACACGTGGTAAAAGGGAAGGTGTGTTTCTGTCTCTGCAGTCTCCTAAATGGCCTCCAGGGTTGAATTATGGAGGATTGCCCCTAACGACCCAATCCATCCCAATCACCTCTCAAAGATCCGCTCTCCAAACACCTTCACTAGATTAGGTTTCCACCATTAACTCCTGACTTTGGAGTTTAAATGTCTGCATGAGTTCAGGAACTAAACCATATTCAATGCATAGCATAGTTCATGTTTATTGATTAAGCACCATGTACCAAGCACTGCTCTGAGAACTGCACATAGTTTAACTCACTGAATGTTTGCAGGACAAATCTGTGAGGTAGGAATTGTCATCATCCCCTTTTTACAGGCTAGAAAACTAAGGCACAAAGGTTAAGAAACTTAAAATTGAATTGGGTATTATGTCATCAGTACTTGTAGTCTTAGCATCATTCTATGTGCTCATCTAGATTTACTAAGCATTATAACAAGCACCAAGGATACACAAAAAGGGCTCAGCCTTTGTGCTTCTATTAAAAATAACCACTATGGGTTCTGTATACAGATGTGGGAACTGCTTATCACATGAAGCTGGCAGCGAGAAACAGAGTATAAAATAGCTATGATTGCGGCTATCTAAAAATCTATGGCCAAAGAACGGAAGATGTTATATTAAACTGAAAGAAATAAAACAGTGTTGGGCTATGACTTTCTCTAAAATTATTTTCATTTTTTGCCATTTTCATTTTTAAATTCATCTTAATAAAAACCATTCTTGCTACAAAACTTTGACATTGACATTCTTACTGCTTCTGCCTTGTCCGTCTTGCTGATGCTCTTGGGCTAGCTCAGTGAGTGATGGTATCATCAGAAGGGGTGGGTATCTCTGCTGAGTGGCTAACAGTAACAGGGTTTGGGGGGCTGCACAGAAGAACAGACTGCACACCAGAACTGCCATTCATTCGCCCTGAAGTTGACTGTTATCAAAGGGACATCCATTGTCCATTTTCACTTGACATTTTATTATTTTGTAAGCCCAGTAAGGATAAGACATTATGTGACAGTGATGTTTAAGGAAAGGGCCTCCAAAAATTTTCCTTATGTAGGGTGGAATAAGGGATTCTATATCTAAAAATATTTATCAAAGAACAGGTGCATTTCAGAAGATGAAGTTATTTTATGAATAAGGGGGAAGACTTCGGTGATGTAAATTAACTAGCAATTAAATATTATGTGTAATGCTTAATTCTGTTGAGGGTGGTGAGAAATTAATGCATTTATATCTTGTGAGGATTACAAAATCTAAGAGGGTAAGCTATAAAAGCAAACTGAAATCTTGTGTCAGGAGGTATTTATGGTCTTTGACTCCAATAACCATGTTTTCTAAAATTATTTCAGAGATTTTTCTCTCACTGGGGGAGAAAAAGGAAAGGGAGATGATACCACATGATTCCAGATGAATGAGTAAAAAAACTAAGATTTTTAAAAAAAATTGTTTTCAAAATGTGATGAAAAGCAGGAAAGTGGTAGGTTTTTTTCTGATAAAATGTTAACAGCATTGGGAGGATGGGAGGATGGGAGGATGGGAGGATGTTTAGCCTAGCAGCTAAGACTTCTGTGTCACATATCAGATGTACCCAGGTTCAATACCTGGCTCTGGCTCCTGGCTTCAGCTTCCAGCTAATGCATGCAGTGGGAGGCAGTGATAATGGCTCAAGTACTTGGGTTCTTGCCACTTACATGGGAGAGCTAGATTCAGTTTCTGGCTCTGTCTTCAGCCTAGCTCGGCCCCAGCCATTGAGGGCATCTGGGGAGGGAACCAGCGGATATGATTTCTTCCTGTCTGCCTCTCATATGAATAAATAAAATTTAAAAAAATTAATAATGTAAACTGCATCTAGTAAAGATATAAGGTGAGACAATCTATTTCATATTATTCTTAACTGAATGCATATCATGTAATAGTTTATTAGCCATTTTGGAAAACAAAAAGAAATGAGACTAGCAAACAAAATAAGCTAAACATCAGATTGGGTGGAGTTGTTATTAATCCCCTTATGCTCACATAGGATTGTGGATGCTACGAGAAGGCGTCAGTAAAGGCGAACCATCTTACATGCATTATTTTTATGCCATGCTTCAGGTTAATTTCACTCTTTGGTATTAACTTTTTTTTTTGCACATTTACACTTATTTTGCTGTTTTAGAAATTGTTTTCCAAAAACTACACACATACCAATGGTGAAGGCAGAGAAAGAGGCAATGAGAACGTTCCTCCTGGAAGGACCTGGAGGAACATGTTAGCAGTCGTAGTGGGGCTTCCATGACGTTTTGATGACATCACAATCAGGCCACTGGGGCACATAGTCTCATCATTTCTCCCTCATGAAAAATTCTCCAGGAGCCAAGATCCACAAGGAGAGGCACATTAGGAACCAGGGACCAATGCTGCCAGTGGCTGTAAGTGAGCTCTGCATCCAAAGCTGCCAAAGACTGTGGGGAGCAACTCAGACTAGACTAAGTTACTGGAATTAAGACTTATTCTATGCATCTGCTCTCCCACAATATGGTGCTGAGAAGGGAGAAACAGCTTATGCACAGCTGCCTCCAGTTCAACCAATAAACAGCAGGACCTGCTCCTGATTGCGGGAGAGCAGCGTACTCGGCGTGTGGGTAGCAGAGTTGGGATTGGTGGAAGAGGACTATAAAGGAGGAGAGAGACAACATGCACCAGGAACATCTAAGGGGAACATCTATCTGAAGGAACACCTGTGTAGCCCCCGAGAGAGCCAGCCAGCGGTGTGCCGCTCCCCCCCGGAAGTGGGGAAAGTGGCAGGGGGAACCGCCCTTCCACGGAGGTGGAAGGGACAGTAGCCAACCAGGGAAGAACCAGCAGCAAACCCGGGGAGGGCCAAGCAGACAAAAGAACAGTGCAGGGTCCTGTGTCGTTCCCCCACGAAGACGGGGAGCGACAAAGACCAAAGCTGCATTATGGTCTCAGCTCACTAGCATTCCTGGGCCAGATCAGAAATCCCTTCTCTTAGCAGGTGGCTTGGAAGGCAATGGGGAGAAGCAGGCGTGGCTTGGTCAAACTGCGTAAAATGAGGCCTTTCTCAGGCACTTACTATGATTCCTTTTATATACTATGTATGCTTATATCAAAAAGTGATAATATACTGTTCTACATATATTGTTTTATGGTTTGTTTTTATCATTTAACATTATAACATGGATATCTTTTCATGTTACATAGGGATTTGTTGCATTCCTTTGAAGGACTGTGGGATATTTACCTGTACCAACATCCCCTGCTGATGGATATGTATTTTCACTTTTTTGATATTGTAAATATGAGTACTATAAATAGTATGTCCTAAATAGGAAGAAGTTGCTTTAGCTGTTTGCCTCCATGCCACACGACTACTTGTGCACTTGGGCAAGGACTTCTCCAGGCTGTGACTGGAAGTTGACTAGCCAGGTACATGAGAATTCCTACATATGTTGTAATAGACACTGTTAAGCTGAGCAAGTATTCTTTTTCAGGTCTATGCTTTTTATTCGTTTTGTTGCTTAAAAGCAACTTTTTTGAGCAGCTAAGACACACACATGATAAAAATACTGAGTGGCATAAAGAAGACATATGGTAAAAGCAGTCTTTGTCACTTTATCCTACATTATTCAGCACCAGTGGCAGTTTCTTGGTGCCCTACAAAGTGTATGTGTGTGTGTGTGTTCACAAATTATATAAAAATGTCTCTATATGCGCATATATAGATATATCATGTCATTTTGAGAGTACTTTAAAATGTTCAGGGAATGATGGAATGAAAAAAATTCATGCATACTGTTTTCATAATATACTTTTTTATGAAATTTTTGAAGACCCCTTATATATTGTTCTGTACTTGGATCTTTTCATTTAACAACATATCTTCAAAATATTCTATATCCAGGCCTGCATCTCCCTTATTTTTTATAGCAGAATATCATAATATTATCTGCCAGAAATGAACCATAATTTAGCCTGTTTTCTATTGATGTACATTCAGATTATTATTAGTCTTTTGCAGCTGAATAATTGTGTGATGAATATCTTTGTTGGCTACATGTGATTTGGCATATTTTTTGGTGTTACAGTCAATTAATATCTTTCACTTGAAAGGAAGAAAGGGAAAGAGACAGAGGACAGAGAAATCTTCTTTTTGTTGGTTCACTCCCCAAGTGCCTGTAATAGCCACAGCTGGGACAGCCTGAAGACAGGAGCCAAGAACTCCAACTAGGCCTACCATGATGGTGACAGGGACTCATATACTTGAACCATCACCTGCTGCCTCTCGGGATGCATTAGCAGGAAGCTGGATCAAAAGTGGAGTAGCAAGGGCTTGAGCCAGGCATTCTGATATGGGATGTAGGCAACTCAAGCAGCAACTTAACTGTGGCACCAAAAGTTTGCTCAATTTTATTTCTACTTTTAAAAATAAAATATGACAGGAGATATTTTTATTCCACTAATTTTATCTTATTAATTTTTCTTGAGAGAGAGAGAGAGAAATATCCCATCTACTGATTCATTCCCAACGTGGGACAGGAATACAATTACTTGGGTCAGCACCACTGCCTCTTAGGGTCTGCAATGGCAGGAAGCCAGAATCAGGAGCCGTAGCAGGGAACACCACCCAGGCATTCCAGTGGTGGACACTGGTGTCTTAACTACTGGCTAATACCTATTCTCCAATTAATAATTTAGGGAAAGTTGACATCTTTAGATCTAGTCTTTATATCTGAACATAGAGAATGTCACTTCATGTTTTCAAGATTCCATCATGTATCATGCATGTTTATTATTTTTCTTATTCCCATGCATTTTATTATTCTGGAAGCTTTTTAAAATGAAAATGTTTTATTACATTTTCTTACTTGCATTTATATAAAATTGCTACTGGTTATTAGGTTTTACATTTTATAGCTAGCTTCTCGACTGAATTATATTAGCATTTCCAGTGGTTTTCTATGTGACTCTTTTTTAGTTATGTGATTATTTCATCTATAAATAATTACCATTTTGGCTTTTCAACGTTTTGTACATTTTTTCTCTCATCTAATTGGGTAATACTTAAACACTACTACTTAAATATGTTAAATAATTCTGGCTTTTTCTCACTTTAATAGGAAGCTTTTTTTTTGTATTTCAGCATTAATCAAGATGCTGCCTTGGAAAAACAAGAATATGTAGGTAATTCCTTACCACAACCACAATAAAAATTACTGATGTATGAAATGCCAGTGTTAGATCAGGAGAGTGCCTGTGGAACACATGTATTTTTAATGACTAGCCATGATGACTCAGACTCCCGACCTGCCTTTCTGGGACCATTCTCCCTCTACCTGTCCCTCACTGTCTCCAGGGAGTCACTTAACCACACTCAGGTCAAGCACCACCTCCTTGCTCTCTCTGCTCTGCTGCCACCACTGCAAGTGACCCAGGGATGCTTTGGAGCCTAGGGATCTTCTGCCCCTGGCCATTGCAGTCCTACACTTGTCCACGCCAGCCTCACTGAGGATAGGAAAGAAAGGGACGCTCCTTTACTTCTTGTCACCCCAACCATTGTGAGATGGATTCTCTCCTTTATCTTGTGAGACAGCTAATGCTGAGATAACCTGGACAAGGTAATACTCAAAGTGGGAAGTGGATAGAAGACGAATAGTCCAGCACATCGCAGTCTGACTGCAAGGTCCCTCTAGGGCTGGTTATCCGCCTCATTCTTCCTCCACCTCCAGAAGCCAAGTGAACCTTTACTTCTTAGAGCTCTCGTGATATGGAGCATCCACTCAAGGAGGGGAGAAAGAAACCCTCTGACAAGTGTAAGGCCTATTTACTTGGTCTTTATTTCCTGCGTAGGATGTATCAACTCCCAGAGAGAGAGAGTGGAAAGACCCATTTCTTTCTAGAAAGTACTTATCTGCCCATCCACAGGCATATGCTCTTCTTCCACAGCACCAGCGAGACAATCACAGCATGGTCTGACATCACAGAGATGACATATTTTTATTAGGCTCCTAGGAGGAAACACAGGTCCAGATCTAGTCCAGTTCCTGTTAGATTACAGACTGCCTTCTCCTTAGAGACTGGAGTTTTAAATTTGGTGATGTCATGGGTGCCACGAGGGCAGAACAAGGAATCATCTGGTCACCTTTTTGGGGGAGGGAGGCACTGACCAGTGCATGATGCAGGCTAGAGACACTGAACCTTCAGATGGCTCTGCTAACAAGCCCTTATTTCATGTAAAGTTACAGGCATGGAACCAAACCTTGTATATTTCCTCTGTGTCATCTACATGTTTCCTTGTCTCTCAGCTCCACACTAGCAAAGGAAATTGAAGTCCAACTTAGCCACTTCCTCCAGGCAACTTCACTCATTCTGTGAAATAAAATCCTTCAATTCTCCAAGTGCCTTCTTGCTTTATTTGACCTTTGCTACTGAATAAATACATGCATGAATACTGTTAATGTTTGGGGTTTCATTTTCTGCCCCTTATGAGTCGATGTCCCTTCCTAAGACAGGGATTTATTCCTTCTTTTGACAAGACTTGTAGAAAATGTACAAGCTGAGCTCTGTTTGGAACCCTGGGGAGGCAGCATGGACAAAATAGGCAAGATCCCAATGTTTCTGGAGCTTATGTTCTTGTGGGGCGATAAACCAAAATGTAAATGGAAGCAAATGTCAGGTAGTCAAAAATGCTGCGATGAAGGTGAAATAGGCTACATGCAGGGGGTGATTGGGTACTGGGCAGGAAAGACCTCTCTGAATTCCAGATTTTAACCTGATCACATCTTTCTTCCTAGCTTCTGCAGCAACTACCAACTAGTTCACCTTGCAATCCTGTAGAATCATTTATAAAACTTCTTTGAAACCTGACAAAAGTTTCTTTTGTGTGGCTTTTAACTTCATTGGTTTTGTCTTTTGATTTGTCTTTTATGTCTCCATCAGACGATGCTCTCCATGGACTTTCAACATAAGCTTCCTCTCCTACATTTCCAGCCCCTTGGCAGGTGTCACTTGGACGAGTCATGAAAGATCAAATGTAAAAATAAAGTGATCTCAAATTCCAGGCAAGAAACACCTGCTAAATAGTTAGCATTATCTTTAGACAATCTTCCCTGCAAGCAATTTTGGAAACTCCCTCGCTGTACTTTGGTAAAGACTTGCACCTGGGAAATGGCATGGAGGCTTTTACGAGGGATGCTATTACAGGCTCCTCCGCAGCGCAGGGAGGCGAGGCTGCAAGGAGCTCTATTTTACGGTTCAGTCAGGTTAGCCATTTACTCTTCCCATAAGCTATTTCACTTGCAATAAAGGTCAATGGGCCTTTTTAGGGAGGCGAGCTGGACCCCTCTCTGAAGCTGCCATATTCGGCAGTCAAAAAGACGGGCTGCTGTAGAGTCTTCTGGAAAGTGGTAGGACGTTTACTTAGCTGGGAGAGGGGTTCAGTATGAACCAGTGGTTCAGTGTAAGTAAGGCAGTAAGAATTCACTGACTTCAGAGTGGAAGACTTACAGCCTGAGATACCTCGACTGCAAAGCTAAGCAGGGTGTGGCAGACTGTGGACTAACAGTTACCATTACACGTGCACACCATCAAGACAAGGAGCATCTCTGTACCTGGAACTCCCTGTCCCTGGCCTTCTTCGAAAGCTGCCATGCTAAAGGGCTCTGGTTTGCAGTCCATAGGCATGCAAATCCTGCACTGCAGAAGCAATCCCACAAACAATTGATTTCCTTTTTTTTCTAGTTTTTTTTTTTTTTAATAATGAAATCAAACTAGATGAGTATTTCCCTAAAGGCACTGAGTTCAACATTTTTGTTTAGTATGTCCTAAAGGAATTTTGAAAAACTATGTACCCTCCTTCAGTTTTATGATGAAATCTAAAACATTTCATCAAAATCTTAAATAGTTGCAAAGGATATAATTTATTGTCTGTTATAAATATTGACTTTAAACAATATGTTTACCCAACTTGTTATAGTGTCTTCAATGGAATATAAATGGGTCAGTAACCTCACACCTACTATCATCCACTAGGGAAACGTTGGGGATTTTACATAATTTCTTTTTTACTCCTTGAATTCTTATTTTCATTCCTTTATAGAATTTTATCCAATAAAATGCATTTTTTTGTGTGTCAGGAAATTAATTATTTACCTTAGTATGGTTTTCCAAGATTAAGATGTCAAAGAAATGAAGGGACAGGAAGTACCATGGCAGAGACAATGCTCTGTATGCATTACAGCCTTTTTTCTCCCTGGAGGTCCAGGAAGTTTATAGTTCTCACTTTTCCATGGGAATGTGAGAAGAAATGAGGCATTGTTCCCTGTGCTAGGCAGCTGGAGTGGCCTGAGTCTCTTTCCCACCTTCCCAGTTGGACACTAGGAATACTGAGATGGCAGAGATGCAAGGCAGAAGCAGAGCTGTCTAGGAGCCCCTGGGAACAGCTCCCAGGTAGGCTCATCTGCACCAGACCCTGAGCAATACACTTTTGTCATGTTGATCCATTTGAGTTTTTTCTTACTTTCTTATTTCTTTTTATTTTAAAATTTGTACTTATATTTGACAGGGAGGGTGAGAGAGTGAGAATGAGAATGAGAATCAGCTCCTAACAGCTGATTTGCTCCCCAAATACCTGCAAAGGCTGGGGCTTGGCCAGGTGGAAGCTGGGAGCTGGGAACTGTTTGGGACCCAACTACTTGAGCCATCACTGCTGCCTCTCAGGGTGCACATTAGCAAAAAGCTGGATTTGGGAGTAGAGCCGGGACTTGAACCCAGGCACTCTGATATGGGATGCAGGTACCTCAACCAGCATCTTAATTACCAGGCCAAATGACTGGTTTAGGTTTATTGGTTTATTTTAGGTTTATTTATTATTATTGGTTTATTGGTTACAGAAAGGTAGCTCATACTATGCTGATTAATACAGGCATTTTTTAAAAAAGATTTATTTATTTATTTATTTATTTGAAAGGCAGAGTTATAGAGAGGCAGAGGCAGAGAGAGAGAGATCTTCCATTCTCTGGTTTACTCCCCAGTTGGCTGCAACAGCTGGAGCTGCACTGATCTGAAACCAGGAGCCAGGAGTTTCTTTCAGGTATCCCACGTGGATGCAGGGGCCATCCTCCACTGCTTTCTCAAGCCACAGCAGGGAGCTGGAATGGGAAGTGGAGCAGCCAGTACTTGAACCGGCACCCATATGGGATGCCAGCACTGCTATGCCACAGTGCTGGCCCCAATACAGGCATAATTAACAATAAAAAATGGACACATTCCAACTTTTCATAGGTAGTTATCAAGGCTAAAAATTTTTAAATTCTTGAAAATACATCTCTAATAAAAACATTGAGAAGTTGTATTCACGTGGATGGGAGTGAAGGTAGTTATAGCAATGTCACTCAATTCCCATTGTGTTACATTCACATAGTGATCTATAATCAAAAATTTTAATAATCTATCAACTGGCAACTGAATTGGGTCCCTTTCCTTTTTATAATAGTTTTTAAAAATTTTATTTAAATTATACAAGGAATTGGGTCCCTTTTCAATTTTATTGAAGGCAAAGATTTAGCAGCACTTAACTTGCAAAGCAAATTGTTACTCAGGCATTAGAATCATTCATTTTCTCAACATCCTTACCCATATTTCAAATTATTCTTTTATTTAGAGCTCCATAGTGTTTTCCACCCCAAGGCAAATTACCATAGCAAGATTGTGTAAAATAGGGAAAACACTGTTGGAAAGGGAGGTAGGAAAGAACTTCTTAGGCAGTCAATTTAGAAACAAGTTATATGAAATCTAGAAATTAACTCCCTTATAAATGTCTATGTCAATACATATTCTCTGAAAGTCTCTGTGAATTTCCACCGGTATTGGACCCCATATTCAAGGTGCTGGTCTGGGGAAGAGGCGGATGAGGCAGGAGTGGAAGTGTCTCCTGATCTGATCCTCTCTTGGCTGCAGAACTTTACCCAAACCTTTGCTCCATCATTTCTTGTCCTTCCTTCTAGCTCTCACCAGCTCACAGGTAAGAAGATCAAGAGTAAAATCCATGGGGGCCAGCTTTGTGGTCCAGCAGGTTAAACTGCCACTTGTGACCCAGTGACCTGTATCAGAGAGCCAGTCTGAGGCCTGGCTGCTCTGCTTCCTATCCAGCTTCCTGCTAATGCACCTGGAAAGGCAGCAGAAGATGCCTAAATTACGTGGGCCCTGGCCACCCACGTGGGAGACAAGGGTGGAATTCCTGGCTCCTGGACTCAGCCTGACTCAGCCCTGCCTGGTTTGGCCATTTGGGGAGTGAACCATCGCGTAGAAGATCTCTCTTTTTCAGACTCTCCCACTTTCTCTGTCATTGTACCTTTCAAATAAATAAATCTTTAAAAAATTATAATACGTAACATATAAGGAGTTATTTTAAGTAAATGAGAAAACTGTTATTCCAACAGGGAAAGATAGGCAAATGAAGGTGAAAGAAAGTTCCTAAAACTGTCCAAAAATACAATTTGGGGGCTGCTGCTGTGGTGTAGTGGGTTAAAGCCCTGGCCTGTGGCACCAGCATCCTATATGAGTGCCGATTTGAGTCCCAGCTGCTCCATTTCCGATCCAGCTCCGTGCGAATGCACATGGGAAAGCAGTGGAGGATGGCCCAAGTCCTTGGGCCCCTGTAGCCATGTGGGAGGCTCAGAAGAAGCTCCTGGCTCCTGGCTTCGGCTTGCCATAGCCCTGTGTCTTTCTCTGTGTCTACTTCTCTCTGTAATTCTGGCTTTCAAATAAATAAAATAAATCTTTTTTTTTTTTAAAGAAGAAATACAGGGCCGGCGCCGCGGCTCACTAGGCTAATCCTCCGCCTTGCGGCGCCGGCACACCAGGTTCTAGTCCCAGTCGGGGCGCCGGATTCTGTCCCGGTTGCCCCCCTTCCAGGCCAGCTCTCTGCTGTGGCCCGGGAGTGCAGTGGAGGATGGCCCAAGTGCTTGGGCCCTGCACCCGCATGGGAGACCAGGAAGAAGCACCTGGCTCCTGGCTTCAGATCAGCGCGGTGTCCCGGCCACAGCGCACCAGCTGCAGTGGCCATGTGGGGTGAACCAAGGGAAAAGGAAGACCTTTCTCTGTCTCTCTCTCTCACTGTCCACTCTGCCTGTCAAAAAAAAAAAAAAAAAAAAAAAGAAGAAGAAATACAAATGGATGTTCTCCATTACTCAGAGATCATAGATATGCAAACTAAGATAAGGAGATATCACTTCAAAATTAAATTGGAAAAAAGAGAAATGCACTATCATTTTATTTTTGGAATGTTCATACTGATAAAAGAAAGTAAGGGGGCTGGCACTTTGGCTCGGGAGTGCACCCGCTTGGGAGACCAGGAGAAGCACCTGGCTCCTAGCTTCGGATCGGTGCAGCGCTTTCCGTGACAGCCATTTGGGGAGTAAACCAACAGAAGGAAGGCCTTTCTCTCTGTCTTTCTTACTGTTTATAACTCTACCTGTCAAAAAAAAAAAAAAAAAAAAAGTAAGGTATATAGCAAAACTGTAATGGTAGAAATATTTGGATGCTGGGATTACTATTGATTTCTAATTTCCTATCTTTATGAAACCATTCTTTTCAAAATTAATTAGAGTTAACATAAAAAAGTATTTTGATAAGAAAAACACATTCACATTCAGTAGTAGTTTCCAAACCCTAAGAGGACTGAAGAGAAACAAAGAAAACCCAAGCTCTGAAGATTCTAGTCAGAGACAGCTGAGGGGCTGCAAAGCACCCAAATCCTGGAGCACTGGGCACACCTGGGCTCTGGTCCTGAGCAGCAGCTGCTCACATTGCCACCACTGGCAGGAGAGGAGGCACTGCGGAGACGAATCCCTCACCTACTTGCTCTGCTCATCACTTTCCTCCAGAACGCTAAAGCCCTGCAGCTTTATGATTCTATATGAAGCTATGCATTTTAGGGATGAGAACTGGACTCAGAAATTCTGAGATCTGATGTTTTACTGGTTAGATTATCTTAATAAAGCCACTAAAACCTTTTGAGCCTAAATAGAATGGAAATAATAGGGAACCTGTTTCTGCATATAGTGGTTGTGAAATTGAATGAGATAAAAGTGCTTGAAAAAAATGATATATCTGGGGCTGGCGCTGTGGTGTAGTAGGCTAAGCCTCTGTCTGTGGTGTCAGCATCCCATATGGGCAGCAGTTTGTGTCCCGGCTGCTCCTCTTCTGATCCAGCTCTCTGCTATGGCCTGGGAAAGCAGTGGAAGATGGCCAAAGTGCTTGGGCCCCTGCACCCAAGTGGGAGACTTGGAAGAGGCTCCTGGCTCCTGGCTACAGATCAGCTTAACTCCAGCCATTGCAGTCATTTGGGGAGTGAACCAGCAGGTGGAAGACCTTTCTCCTCTCTCTCCCTCTCTCTGTCTGTAACTCTACCTCTAAAATAAATAAAAAAAAATCTTAAAAAATGATATGTCTACACACACACACACACACACAAAACGTAATCAAATATATACATCAAATAACTGCTGGGAAAAAATTAGCAGCTTAAACCCTTGATTTGACCTTGGCTAAATGTAAATGAAATTATACATCACTGTGGATTTTATGAGATACATTAAGAAGGAAATGTCTTGTTGACTCAAGTACTTTGAGAAGTATTTATTATTACCCTTCTCCATAAGTTAAGAAAGAGAAGCTTAAAAATATTTACTTTCTGGTGAAAACAGGAGCACAACAAATAAGGAACATTGTTGAAAGACAAACTAGGGGAATAAAGGTCTTATTTAAATTTAAATATTTGCCCACAATGTCTCAGAATATAATAAATTGTAGTTCCTTTCTTATAATATTTACTAAGGTGGGAAAGGCATTCTGTAAGATATTCAAATATTAACAATATACATGACCATTCACTACAACATCTGAGAGGACCACAAAGCTTGTAAAACATTTCTGATACAGGAAATTGTATTTGCTTGCTTGGCTGTAAAATATGTTTTAAGAAATTCTATCTGTTCCCAGGTTGGCTATGAACTCTCCACTTTGGAGAACTAGTGCACACCGCAGTCCACATTAACCCCTGCATCATATATACTGGGTGAGTTTTTTAATTGATCAGATTTTTGGGCTCTAGATGAAGTGTGCTTCCAGAATATTTGCCTTTAAACACATAAGTTCAGTTTCTTTCACAGTGTTATTTGAGGTTACATCTGGGGAGTGGTGGTGGGTAGTGAGAGAAACTAACTTGTGTGCACCTTTGTGATTTTGGAGTGTTATTACATAAAGCATTTACTACCTGTGCTTTGAAAATAGCTTGGCACTATACAGATTGTTATTCACATAAAGGCTAGTGGACAGGGCTTGGTCTTCTCTTCCTCCTTGTGCTGAAATTAACCAAAAAGGACCCTCCAATTACTTGTCATGAAGCTGATTATGTACATAGATGTATTTTTTCAGTTTCCACATCATTGGCCTTTTCCTTATTTTTTTAAATAAATGAATTGTTAGTGTTATTGTTTAAATATGATTGCTCCCCTTTGAAATTCATGTTGAAATTTAATCCCCACTGTGAGATATTAAGAGGTGAGAGTAGGTAGAACTTTCAAGCAGTGGTTAGGATTCTGCCCTCAGGAATGTATGAGCATATTTATGTGATTAATGGATTGATGCAAGTCAATTGGTTATCTCAAAAGTGTGTCTGGGGATTGAAGATGACAGAATAGGGAGAGAGCTTACTATGCCAGTCTAGGGGAATATAGTTTTAAAAAAAGTGGAGAAAGTGCAATCTCAGGGAAGAGTTAAGGAGAAAATGGCAGAGGAAATTCCATGCAAATTAGAGGGACACTGTATCTTCATGGAGGGTGCAGACATGCACAACTCAGGACCTCAGCAGCTGAGAGCCTCAGCACCAGCTTTGGAGAGTGTGGTAAAATCAGATTACTGGAGCCCAAACCCTGGCAATAAAACTGTGGGAAGAGCCTGGAGTGAGTTTGGCTTGGAGCCCTTTAGAGGAAAATAAAGGGAAGGTTTCTCTCTGACCTCCCAGCACCAGCATCCTATAACTAGCTAAGAGAGGGCAGGTGCCATTTTGGACATAAATAACAGATGTGCCAGCACGTGTGCATGTGCCCAGCAAGCAGCTAAGAACAAATGCCTGAGTCTGGCTGGGAGCATTGACGGGGGCTGAGTGCTTGTGACTGTAGGAGCCTCATTGATGGGACTGTGAAAATGCTGTGGCTGCATGGGAGGGTGCAGGGTATGGCTCGGTCTTTGGGAAGTCACTGGCCAGCTCCACATGCTTGGGCCCTGATCTCTACTCACACCAAGGACAACACAGATCCTTTCTGTGGTTCTTGTGGCAGTGTGGATTGATATTGTACCCACTGGGGCTAGCGCCCAGGCATTGGTCTCCTTGGATGAGAGGGGGTCGGTGTGAGACTACCCCAACAGAGCTGATCAAACCTCACCTCTGATTGAACAAAAAAAAAAGAGGAGATTTAACACACCCAACTTAGGTATCACCTTGGACACTCACCCTGGAGTACTGAACAGAGCTCCCTGTCCACAGCCAGCACATGCCTATGGGTATTCCTGAAAGAGCAGACACATCAGTAGGCCACAGAGGCAGAGTCCAAAGATAAAAGCCAGCACAGAGAAAAAAAACACAAGTACTTCTACAAAGTAAACAATAGGAATATTTATGGGAAAATGGCAGGGCAAAGTTATTACTTATCAATAGTCAGCTTGAATTTAAATAGCCTCAACTCTCCAGTTAAAAGACACAGGCTGGCTGAATGGATAAAAAAACAAAACCCATCTATTTGCTGCCTACAAGAAACACATCTCACCACCAAAGATGCACTCAGACTGAAAGTGAAAGGATGGAAAAAGATATTCCATGTGAACAGAAACCAAAAAAGACCTGGTATAGCCATCCTAATATCACGCAGAATAGTCTTTAACACAAAATCTGTTAAAAGAGACAAAGAAGGGCACTAGGCAATGATTAAGGGATCAATTCAATGGGAAGATGTAACTATTATAAATGTAATGCACCTAGTTACAGGGCACTTGGCTATTTAAAAGAAATGTTAAGAGATCTAAAGGGAGACATAGACTCCAATATAATAGTAATGGGGGTCTCAATACCCCACTTTCAGAAATAGACAGATCAATCAGACAGAAAGTCAGCAAGGACACAATAGAGTTAATTGACACCATTAACCAAATGGACCTGACTTATATCTACAGAACTTTTCATCCTGGAGTTGAAGAATATACATTTTTCTCACCAGTGCATGGAATTTTCTCTATGATAGACCACATGCTAGGCCATAGAGCAAGTCTCAGCAAATTAAAAAAAAATCGAAATCATACCATCCATCTTCTCTGACCACAAAGGAATAAAGCTCAAAATCAACAACTCAAGAATCTCTAGATCATATGCTAACACATGGGGACTGAACAATATGCTACTGAATGAGCAGTAAGCCACTGAAAAATCAAAGAGAAATAAAAAAATTTCTGGAAAAGAATGAAACAACAATATAACATCAAAACTTATGGGAGCCAGCAAAAGCAGTGTTAAGAGGAAAGTTTATAGTAATTGGTGCCTACATCAAGAAATTTGAGGGTCTGCTGCTGTGGCATAGTGGGTGAAACTGCCACCTGCCATGCTGGCATCCTGTATGGGTGCTGGCTCGAATCCCAGCTGCTCCACTTCCAATTCAGCTGTGCCTGGGAAAGTAGTAGAAGATGGCCCAAGTCCTTAGGCCCCTTCACCCACATGGGAAACCTGGAAGAAGCTCCTGTCTCCTGGCTTCGGATCAGCAAAGCTCTGGCCATTGCAGCCATCTGGGGAGTGAATAAGCAGATGGAAGACTTCTCTCTCTCTGCCTCTGCCTCTACCTCTGCCTTAGCCTCTCTGTAACTCTGCCTTTCAAATAAGTAAATAAATATTTTTTAAAAAAGAAATTGAAAAGGCACCAAATAAATGAGCTATCAATGCATCTCAAATACTTAGAAAAACATCTGCAAACCAAACCCAAAGCTAGTAGGAGAAAGGGAACAATTAAAAATACAAAATAAATAAATAAAATTGAAACCAAAAAACCCCAAAAGATCAGCAAAACAGAGAGGTGTTTTTTTGAAAAAAAAAAAAAAATTGACATACCATTGGTCCAAGTAATAAAAAAAAGGAGGGGGGGAGGCCCAAATCAATAAAATCAGAGATGAAAAAGGAAAGAACAATAGATACTATGGAAATAAAAAGAATCATCAGAAATTACTTGAGAGCTGTACCAACAAATCAGGAAACCTAGAAATGGATAGATTCCTAGACACTTACAACCTACCTAATTTGGGCCACGAAGACACAGAAAACCTAAACAGATCAATAACCAAGATGGAAGTTGAATCAGTAATATAGACCCACCCAATAAAGAAAAGTGCAGGACTGGGTGGCTTCACTGCTGAATTCTATCAGACATTTAAAGGAGAACTAACTCCCATTTCCCATTCTTCTCAAGCTATTCAAAACAATCAAAAGGAGGGAATCCTCCCAAACTCCATGCATGAAGCCTGCATCACCTTAATTCCTAAACCTGAAAGATACAACAAAGAAAAAGAACTACATATCATTTTCCCTGATGAACGTAGATTCAAAAATCCTAAACAAAATACTGGTCATCAAATTCAAAATCACATCATTATGATCATTCACCTGGACCAAGTGGGACCAAGTTGAGTTTGTAGGAATGGATTAACGTTCACAAATCCATCAATGTGATACGTCACATTAACAAACTGAAGAACAAAAACCATGATTATCTCATTAGATGCAGGGAAGGCATTTGGTAAAATACAACATCCTTTCATAATGAAAATTTTAAGCAAATTTGGTATAGAAGGAACATTCCTCAACAAAATCAAAGCAATTTTATGATAAACCCACAGCCAGCATCCTATTGAATGGGGGAAAAGTTGGAAGCATTCCCACTGAGATCCAGAACCAGACAAGGATGCCCACTCTCACCATTGCTATTCAATACAGTCCTGAAAGTTTTAGCCAGTGCCATCAGAAAAGAAAAAGAAATCAAAGGGATACAAACTGGGAAGGAGGAGGTCAAATTATTCCTATTTGTAGATAACAAGATTATATAGGGGATCCAAAGGCTATTGGAACTCATAGAAAAGTTTGGATAATAGCAGGATATAAAATCATCACACAAAAATCAATGGCCTTTGTATACACAGACAATGCTATGCTGAGAAAAAACTTCTAAGATCAATCCCATTCACAATAGCTACAAAAAAATCAATACCTTGGAATAAATTTAAACAAGAACATCAAAGATCTCTACGATGAGAATTACAAAACATTAAAGAATGAAATAGAAGAAGACACAGAAAAATGAAAAAATCTTCCATGTTCATGGACTGGAAGAATCAATATCATCAAAATCAGTACTACCAAAAGCAATTTACAGATTCAATGTGATACCAAACAAAATAAAAGGGACATTCATCTCAGATATAGAAAAAATGATGCCAAAATTCATATGGGAACAAAGGAAACCCCAAATAGCTAAAACACTTTTATACAACAAAACAAAATCAGAGGCACCACAATACCAGATTTCAAGATATACTACAGGGCAGTTATAATCAAAACAGCCTGGTACTGGTACAAAAACAGATGGTTAGACCAATGGAACAGAATATAAACACCAGAAATCAATCCACACATCTACAAGCAATTTATCTTTGACAAAGGAGCTAAAAACCAATCCCCAGAGCAAGGACAAGCTTTTTAAAAAATGGTGCTGGGAAAACTTGATCTCCACATGCAGAAGTAAGAAGCAAGACCCTTAGCTTACATCTTACACAAAAAGCCAATCAAAGTGGATTAAAAACCTAAATCTACAACCTGACACCATTAAATTATTAGGGAACACTGGGGAAACCCTGCAAGACATTTGCATAGGCAGAGTTCTTGGAAAAGACCCCAGAGACACAGGCAATAAAGAGATCAAGAAACTCAACAACAACAAAATAAATGACCCAGTTATTAAATGGGCAAAGGACTTAGCCAGGCAT